GTGCAATCAATCACAACTCCCAGGAAGTTAGTACTTTTTACTTTAACTATTTCCACGTTCTTTATTAAATTTTTTTGATTACTTTCCTCCCTACATTGTTTTGTCTGGAAAAAAATATAATGTGTTTTAGTTGGATTTATAAATAAATTATTTATCTCAAAATACTGCTTTACCAAGTCTATATTGTCTAAGGTTACCTTTTGGAGTTCATTCAAATCCCGACCCATATTCAATATTGATGTGTCATCAGCATACATTGATGTTCTGCCTTGTGTTAGATGTGGAATATAATATAAAAAGTAATGGACCTAGGACAGAACCTTGAGGAACTCCAAATGTAACTGGAAGGCTACTTGACAAGTATTCTTTCATTTGATTGTTTGCTACATGTGAGACTTTTACTTGTTGTGTTCTGTTTGTGAGATAGGATTTGATTAGCTTATGTGATATGCCACGAACTCCATATTGGTATATTTTATCCATAAGGATGTTATGTTCAACACAATCAAATGCTTTTGATAAATCTAATAGTACACAATTGCACTTTATTTTATTATTCAGATTTTCAATTATATTTTCAATGATTGCAGCAATTGCATCATTTGAAGATTTATTTTTCCTAAATCCAAACTGAGATTTATTAAGTATATTGTGTTTATCTAAGAAAGAAATTAGCTGAATAGCTATTACCTTTTCCAGAACCTTTGAAAGAGCTGGAACAAGAGTAATTGGACGATAATTATTTGCATCTTCTTTCGCCCCTTTTTTGTAAATTGGTTTAACGACTGATTCTTTTAATGTAGACGGGAAGATGCCTTCTCTAATTGATGCATTGATCAATTCTAATAGTGATCTTATCATGTAAGGTACACATTTCTTTAATAAATAGGGAGAGATGTCATCAAGTCCTGCTGATTTTTTATTCTTCAAACTCTGGATTACTTTAATCAATTCAGTCTCTGTTATTTCTAATAAGACCAATGAATCTTTTATACTTATTGTACTATTACTAGTTTGTGGAGGCATCAAATTTTTATCAAGTATGAGTTTACTTACAGTTTCTAAAAAAGTACCATTAAAAATATTACATATTCTGCTCGGACTTGTAACTTGTTTCATTTCCTGCTTACAGGTGAATATTGCAAGTCAATATATTATTTAAAGAGCCTCTTTCTCTATTTACAAATTTCCACAATACACTAGGAGTGTTATTTGCACTGGTTATAAGGTGCTGGATGTAGTTTGCTTTTGCATTTTTTATTACATTATATTCCTTTTTATATATTTTATAATTGCCTCTATGTTCCTGAATCTTACTTTGCATGTAAAGATCATATACATTTTATAAGTTTGTTCTTGCTGTAATAACATCATTATTTATCCAAGGAACATTTAAAGCCCTTGCAGTATTTCTTCTTTTGGACAGGCTGTATTAAAATAATAGTTAAAAATACTAGAGAAAGAATCCCATTTTTTCTCTACATCATTATCCCAGAACACTTCAGTCCAAGTTTCATTTTGTATTAAAGAGCAAAGGCCTAATACATTGGTTTCTGATACTTTCCTGCCCTCTCTATAGCATCTAATTTGTTGTGGTATAGTCATATTAATAGTTATACATTGAGCATATTGATCTGAAAGTAAGCTGTTTATTACATCAGTTATATAACAGTGTGAAGGCATGTTAGTAATGATTTGGTCTAAAATTGTTGCTGTACTTTCAGTTACTCGAGTGGGTACATTTATTGTCATAGTCAGATTAAAAGCATTTATAACATCTAGTAACTGTTTGTGGTCACACCCATCTTCTTGAGTATTTATGTTAAAATAATGAATGTGTATAAAGCAGATTAATTAAACATACCATTCTGCTGATATTATTGTTTAATCCAGAGGAAGAGTAACTGTTTGTCATGATTGTCAGCAGTAGTCATCACTGGCACTACTTACCTCATATTCTGTATTGCTGTCTTGTAAAACATTTAATTCCTTTTGAATAATCCTTTTCTTGTATATTTTCTGCTTTATTCAGGACACCCAGAAATTTTGTGTTACACTGTTGAATTCTTTATTCACTAAATTCTTCTCTTCTGCCATTGTGAATATTTTTTTGTTATTTCCCACTTTACATTTCAGTTCAGCTCACTCAAGTTCTATTGGATTCTACTGGCAATGAAGGAGGAAGACAAATTATCCTCTTTCATTAGCCAACTTATCATGTTTATATTTCTGAAAGGTAACACCTCAAGTTTTGATTCTGAAAATGCAATTCCTTTCTATTGAAACCAGTCTTTTATTTCTTGTTGAAGGTATTTAGGATTCTGTTTTAATGTTGCCAGGTATATGACTAGGGCTGTGAAGCCTAGACTCCACTCCCCAACAAATGGCAATATTAAACATCCCATGCTGCTTAATTTATTGCATTTTTATGTTACCTAAACTACTGTAACTGAGAGATGTTGACAAAGTGATGTTTTTAACATATTAAGTATGGTTTATTCATACTTTGGTGTAGTTCTTAAAGTTCTTTTCATTATTTTGTATTGCTGCCTTAGTTTATAGAATGTACCTTTGGTGATTCTGGGAAGTGGAAGGATTTATATAGGGTCGGAGGAAGGGAAGGCTCTAACCCTATGTTGTAAATCGTTCCACTTCCCAGCATTGCCACTTCATGCCAGAAGATGGAAACAGCATGTTTCTCTGAAATAGCTTCTGCCTACAATTCTGCATGGTGCCAAAACCCAGAACATCATCACAACTGTCAAAATATCAAATCTCACAATCTTAAGATAGTTTACTTCTGAATAATTAATTAATTTATGTCTTCCACACTTATTTAATTTTGTAGGTATTCTGCACCAGTTAATAAGTCTGCCAGTGTCTCATCCCAGTACCTTGCTAAAGCAACTCAGTGTCATTGCTGAAACAACAATGGGTGGTACATCAGGTGCTCTGTACAGCCTCATGTTGACAATGGCAGGAAAGGCTTTAGAAACTGAAACTGAAGCAGTAACTGCAAAGACTTGGGCTGAAGCCTGGCTAGCTGGTACACATGGGACACTTAACTACAGCCAGGCAAATCTTGGTGATAGATCCATGGTTAGAATGTGAATCAGTTACTATAAATGAATGAATTATTATAACAATTTAAATGAAAAGTATATATGTAAATAAGATCATACTACTCACTTCTAGAAGGAGAACTGAAGTTTCTGTTAATGTCTTAATGTGTTGTTTGTTATATTATATTTGTATAACATTTTTAAAGACATACAGTTTAATTCTTTTCTCTCCAGTTTGATGCTCTTTTACCAGCTTGTATGACATTTGAAAGCTACAAACCTATAACAGTAAAAGAAGTACTCATAGCCTTGGAAGCTGCTGTAATGTCTGCAGAAGAAGGATGTCAAAAGACACGCCACATGAAGGCCAGGTAAAGTAAAGTATATCTCAATGTGATGTATACCAATCAGTCTACATGCTGAGGGTAGCAGGAATATTTGGAAGCTTAATTACTTAAGATGTCCGTATTGATAAGTATAATTTTTTCTGAATGTTCATTTAGCTGTTACTAGTAAATGTATTTACAAATACGCATACCATATACAGTAGTTATAGTTCTGTTGGTTTTTGCTTTCGCACAATGTCTATCAGTATTTATTACAGCTGAGGTATTGTATTATTACACTGAATCACTGATGTCACTTTCAAACATTAATTGCCATTAATTGTTTACCTTCACCTTCATCTTGTATTGTCTTCTTCACACAAGCTGCTGTACCTTCTTGCTATATGTTATGTCAGGTTAAGATAAGTAATACAATTTGTGTATTAAAACCTGATAAAATACTCACTGATATGGAACTACATTGTCAGTTTAACTGTTATTTTATTGAGTTGTGCCTCATAACTTGTCTTTACTGTGAGGAGAACATGGTTGAAGATGGAGGCAGTATGTTACTCAGAAATGGCATTACAACTCAGAAAATTAACATTGGCATTTGTCCTAGTTAATTTTAAATGTTGTATGTACTGAGTCTAATAAAACAATTTCCTTGTAATGAATCGTTTTGTTCAAACTGCATCATTGGTGTGATGTTGCTGCAGTATTTGGTCCACTGTTTCAGAGTTGGAAGAGCAACATATGTGGATGCCTCTTATGTCACTGATGTGGATGCTGGAGCTTATGGAGTGACAGTTTGGCTAAAGGCACTTTCAAGTGAACTAAAAATTGTTCCTAATGAAATCAGATAAGAGGATCAATCTGTGTAAAATATTTCGCAACTTGTACTTATTGTTATTATACTATTATTCTTATCCCAGAGGCTTTCACAGACAAGAGTCTAATGTGTAACTTTAGCTTTCAGGAAGTATCTAGTTTGAATTATGCATAAGAACAGGTGATGAAAGATTCTTGGGTTACAAGCCGCATCACGTGGCTGAACGGTGAGTAAACCATATCTTCTGCCAACGTTTCGAGAACAATCTCTGCTCTCATCCTCAGGGCCGCTGGTTAACAAATCTGATACTTTGTTGCATGCTCACTGATGGGAAACTGAGTTTCCCATAAGCAGCCCTGAGGATGAGAGCAGAGATTGTTATCCAAACATTGGCAGAAGATATGGGTTATTCACCGTTCAGCCACCTGACGCGGCTTGTAACGCGAGAATCTTTCATCATTTATTTCATGATTTATCTCATGCCTGAAGAAGAATGCTGGGAGATTTTCTTCTGGCATCATTTCCATTATATATGAGTTGATGAACTGTATATGTATTATACTTAAAGTACAGTCCCTGATTGCCATTTAAATTAATGTTGTCAACAGAAGAAGCTACATGGTAGGTACATATATGTAAAGCAAGTTTTGTATTTATATTTAAAATTCTGAGGTTTATGTATATTAATTTGTAAAATTATTTTTCATACTTGTATTGCAGAATCTGAAATTTATGTACATTGATATGTGAAATACGTTCTTGTACTTGTGTTGAAAGTTGTGAAGTGTATGTATATTGTATGAAATGACATGTTCTACATCCTTTGGTTGAGTCCTAAGAAGGATCTATGGAATGTAAATAAACTCTACTCTACGAAATGTACGATTGAAGATGGATGTCTTCTCGGGTGTTAATCCGTGTGGTCTGGTAGAAATTTACCGACGTTTCTGAGTCCCTTGCTCATCGCCCCGATGATGGAGGCAGCAAGGACCTCTGAAATTAATTCTACCAGACTACACGGCACAACAACCCAGAAGACAGCCATCTTCAAACTCACCGCCGTGAAAACCTCAAATCCTACAAATATAAGATTGTCACCATTACGAAATGTACTAATCGGTGTCACACCTAGATGGCACAAACATCGTCTTCTAGTTGTGCAGTGTCACTGAAGATTTTTGAATTCTGTGCAATTTCTGGGTAGTTGAGCTTGTGAGTATAGCGGTGACTGTGGATCATGTAAAAGGAAGATGTCCGTTAATTCATGGGTTGTAAATCGTGTATTAACTGAATTCTCAAAGTATTGAAATTATAGTGCTTGCTCAAAAATTCTGTGGAATTGGTGCTCCCGATCAAGAACAATGTTGCTGGAAGAGAGTTTTATACTGTACGGCGTGTTATCTTTTTTGTTTTTGGAATATTTGTGGGAATTATACTTATCGATACGACAGGTTAGCATGCGGTTATTTTATAACTGCCGGTTTTGTATTTAAGGTGCTGAAATTACACTGATACTTTGATTTTTAAAAATATATTTCGTTTTTAAGACGACTATTCCATGCTACATTATCACCAAATCCAACCCCCCATCCTACGTATGTTACCAGAAGATGCTATTTAATAATACTACCCATTCATCTACGTCAAGACTTCTGAGTAGTGTAATCCATTCATTGTTTCCGGCCTGAATTTTATGCATATGTATCATTGTCTAGTGTGCAACATGCCTTGTTCATCTTCTTTGATTTGATTGAAACTAACCTCTTCAGAAGGGCTCAAATTATTAGAAACTTGTCATCGTCCATTGGTTTCTACCTGAAGATGGATACACTTCCAGTTTATGAAATTTTTGAGAATGATGATGGATAATATCTACAATAATAGTCATATTTTTTTTATAAATTTATTGTTGCAAAATGTAATCCAGTTTTGTGCATATTCCCACTCTCTTTAAAGTTATTGATATATTTTCGTTCCAGATTTATACATGCACTTCATTCATATGAAATGGAAAACTGATTATAAATTTTGTTCTACTGCCATACTATGTTTCCAAAAAAATAAAGCTTTACATTTATTTAATCTTTATTACCACACAAAGTTTCAGGATCCTACATTAAGTTTTCAGGTCAGAAATATGTGTTGCTTCCTTTTGCTGTTATGGTTTTCAATTTTGAGTGAGTTATATTGGCCATTACTGCAACAGAATGCTCCATAATTTTTGTGTGATGTAGTATTGTTTTGTTTCAGGTTAAGGTTATAATCTGTGTATGGCATAGTATTGTTACTGTTTTAAATTTGACTTTATCTGTAGAGATCGATTCTTACACTTTCAGTCATTGTTTACTATTAGCAGTTACTGCTGTAGACATTCCATTTCTTTGGTGATTGTTACAGCACAAGATTTATCAACAAGTGGTTAAAGTTCCTGAAGAACTGAAAGAAATTATAAATGAAGAAACATACAATAAGGCCCGTGTATATGGATTGGATAAAAGCTTATTCAGCATTGTCGAAGAAGTGTTTGGCGTCGCCACAACTCTTGTAAGGCATATTTCTTAGCAGAATTTTTCAGGACAGATAATGATGAAACTTGGTGAAGTTCTTTTGGTTTGAAGCTTTTAATTTTCAAATGTTTATTTTACTTGTAATGTATCCCTTATAGTTATAGTTTTATTTATAAGGAGAACTCAGGCATGTAAATCTTATATGCAGACTTCCTACAACAATGCAGTATCTTAAAACCATGCTTTCATTGCATTACAAATGTATGTTGGTTTATGATCATCCTAAGTTAGTAAGAAGCAGTCTTAAGCCTGTTTACTGAATGTGTACCCATTTCTGTTAATTTTTCTCTTGGACTGGGGAATATGTTTTTTTAAGCCTTGTTAGCTTTTAAAGGTGGAGAGCAGAATGAATGTTGCAATTGAATTGTCAGCATATGTTTTATGAAAAGTTCCAGTGTGAATAACTATGATCTTATTGTATAGAATTGTTTTGGAGATTGTTGTAGGTTAAACTTCACCTTTCCTCTCTGCACTTTTATTTAAGTACTTAGTTGTTTTATTTTCAGGCCATCATTCTGCTGAATGGTTTTGTACATTTCTGGAACATTGCTGGTGTTATTGTCTCAGACCTGGGTTATGATATGAATAATGAAATCCTTCGAAGTGCTGCATTGATGCTTACAATGAATGTCTTCAACACTGTTGTCAGTTTACCGTTTTCAATTTATCACACGTTTGTGTTGGAGGAAAATCATGGCTTCAACAAGCAGGCAAGTGAGGTCTTGGTTTGGTTATGAAATAACATTATTTTGGACAGTAAGCTGAATTTTAAAAATTGTTGATATAATATTTGTTACAGTGTTTCATTTATGTTATTGTAGATTAAATTAGATAACATTAAAAAGGAGTGGTCACTATGATCATCTTTAGTCTGTTGTGTGGCCTCCTATCCACATTACAAAGTACAGTTCTTTCTTGCTTGATGCCATCAAGCAAAAGCATTCAGAAATGTTGACATTGGTTCTTCGTGACATAAGTCATGGAGAGATCTTACTGTTGTGCTTTTGGAAACCCAACCACTTACCTGTAATCCATTTCTGGGCATAAGTTATGCCATCATGTTTGGATTCCTGAAGAAATTCCTATTGAAAAGTGTTTTTTCAACTGGTGATAAATTGAAATATGTCATATCTGCTTGGTTCTAAGACCTGGAAGTTGACTTCTATCTGGAGGCAAATGTTTATAAAACCAAGTTAAATAAACCTTGAAAGCTGACCACATTTGTTCAGTTCATACTCAGATGCATAAATTAATTGAATAACCCACATGTTTTAAAGATTGATTGGAAGATAGGTATTGTATAAAATGATTTTTCTTGTTTTTTAGACCATTGGCTTCTTCATAAAGGACAAAATAAAGGCTTTCGTTGTTGGCCAAGCGATAATGCTCCCACTTATCTCTGGAGTTGTTTATATTGTCAAGATTGGTGGAAACTATTTCTTTATCTACTTGTGGTTGTTTGCAATGGCTATGACCTTTATTCTTCTTACTATTTACCCCAACTGCATTGCTCCACTTTTTGATAAGTATACACCACTGCCTGATGGTGAACTGAGAACATGCATAGAAGAACTTGCAGCTAGTATAGATTTTCCACTATACAAACTTTATGTTGTGGAAGGTAAGATCCAGATATTTCTGTAGCTTTTAAGTTATTAAAAAAAATCTTGGTATTGAGAGGAGAGTACGTCTGTCTCAGTGATATGCCCTTGTGAACTCAGTAATAATGAACCTTTGGGTTCTGTAAAATATTGCATTTTATTTTATAGCTAAGTAACTATCAGCTTTTAATGAATGACTACTACATTGTGTTTGCTGGGTCAGCCCAGGGTCTACTGACTGACCCTAATGAATATGGTGACAAACCTTTGGAATGTATGAAAGTAGGGAATTTCTTTACTTAGTGTCTGTTTACTTTTTGAGAAAATACTGCACCCTGAAATTAGTCGATTAACAGTTATTCTCTTTGTGGCCATTTTTAATGACTTCCATTATAAAATAATTCTATGAAATTAGTAAATTAGTGTTACTTAAAAATTTATTGTTTGATATGTTACTGTAGGTTGTGTATGCATGTGACGGTTAGAAGTAATGGTGAAGTAAGTGGCATAAAGAATAATTTTTATTCGCATCCAAGAGGAATTGCAAACCTTAATAAAGTCAATGCCCATGCTTAACGTGTTTTCACATGGAAGGCAGTGGATACCGTCAGCAAACTGGTTTCTCTTCTGCACAAGAGATTGACACATCACATGCTAGATGTTTTCTGTATAGTAAGAGTGATGTTGGTATTGCAGGTTCCAAACGCTCCACACACAGCAATGCTTACTTCTATGGATTCTTCAAGAATAAGCGTATTGTTCTCTTTGACACCCTGTTGAAGGATTATGCACCTGAAGATGCCATCAAAAGTGATGTTAAAGATGATCCTGAATCTGAGAAAAAGGGGTGTGATAATGCTGAAGTTCTTGCAGTTTTGGCACATGAATTAGGTCACTGGAAGTTAAATCATGTATTGAAAAATATAGTCATCATGCAGGTATTGCACTCTTAAATATATGTTGTATTGATAATGATTAATGATTTATTGATATACTTTTCTCACAGCAGTTATACAATTGTTAAATTGTGCTGCTTGGTCCCATGCAGTTAAAACTTTGTACGTATCACATGCTGTGTCACGTGCATGTGTTTAAGTTTTATAGTTGTGAGGAAGTTGTTAAGGTGTTTGCTTGTTGCTCAAGAGAATTGAATGCAAGATTGTTTGCAGATGGTGGTTTCAATTTGGATCTAAACAACTGTTATGACAGTGATGGTAGTATTATCATAGTTTGTTTTAATTAGTAGCAGTAGACATCTGTTTACAGATCGCATGCTTTGAGAAAGGTTATGTTTGAGTAACATTGATTACAAGCTGTTCATTATGTAACTAGTTTGAGTATAGAAAGAAGGCTTTAAAGAATGTTGTATAATTTTCATGTGTCATTGACTTTTATCATAGCAGTTTGTAAAATATTTTGGTCATATTTTCTCCACCAGTGACATGAAATATTAAGTTAATGCATGCGCAGTAAAGCCATGCATATCCTGTCTGCCTTTATTGGATAGCCAGTGTGATATAACACTTTCTTTATTTAATTTCCATGGTTTATGTTACAGCCTTTTATGATAATATCCATATAATAAATACATTGATATTCATTGAGCTGGGTAGCTGAATCAGTATAGTGACTGGCAATTGGGTGGATGGTTGGTATTCAATCCCTGGCAAGGGCAAAGGATTTTCTTCTAGCCTTTGCTTCCAGACGCTCTGTGGCCCACCCAGCATCTTGCTCAGTGGGTACTGGGGTCCTTTCATGAGGGTAAATCATGGCCCTGGTGTGCTGCTGACCACTCCCCCTTTCCTTCTAGTGCTGAGGTTGATAATGAGTAGGAGCTATACCTCCTCTCTTGTAAGTGCCAGCATTGGCATGCAAGGAGATGGCTTTACTATTTTACATTGGTTTTCAGAGCTTATTGGTATTTTATTTCATATATGTGCCAAAATTGTAGGTATTTTTCCTGAGGTCTGATTTACACACAGAAAATAATTGTTTATGTTGACTATTATCAAAACACAAGGGAACTGTATTGATAATAATGCATACAACAGAAATGATATTTTTGCATTTATTGGCCATCATGTAACAATCTTTTTTTCATTTTCTTTTTCAGCTGAACCTGTTCTTAATATTTTTAGTATTTGGATTGCTCTTCCAGTATGAAGCCATGTATCATGCATTTGGATTCCAACATGAGAAACCAATATTAATTGGCTTTCTGGTGGTTCTTAAGTTCATCTTCTCACCATATAATGCTGTAAGATATAATCAATAAGTTAGAAAATTAATTGCATCTCTTATAATCAAGAAGTGTGAATATTTATTAATTTTACTATCCACATTGTGTACTGCACTGCAGAAGTATTACACTGCTTCATGGAGTCACTTAGTTATTTTATAATTAGATTGTTAAACTCTCTTAATATGATTGAGTAAAATAATTCCAGAATGTTAGTGAACCTTTGACTTTCTTAAACGCGGGAATTTATTCTCTTAACTGGCTCAGTGACTAAGACGCTGTGCACCATGAAGCTAGTTTATTTTAAAAGATTGTATTAACCCTTTAAACTTAGTGGGAACTATAAGTACCATCTGCTTTAAGAATCAACAATTTTTTGTTCTGCCCATGAAGTGTATTTGTTGGTTTCATATGATTCTCAGAGTAAAGTGCAGTTTTTCCTAAACACCATTAATTGATTGGTCATTTTAATGGTCGTGGTCTGGGTTTTCTTGAAGCATGAACTGCATATTTAAATGTTATTAAGACAAGCTTCTTCTTTAAAGGTTTAATATTACATTTATGATGTGTTAACTACATAGTTATAAATGTTACTGTTTATACCTATAAACATATATTTATTACTCTTTTCCTTCTTATTTTTGCTTGTATAGGTCTTAAGTTTCCTGATGACAATTTTGAGTCGACGGTTTGAGTTTCAAGCTGATGCATTTGCCAAGAGCCTTGGAAGATCAAAGTTTCTCCGCCAAGCCCTGATTAAGTTGAACAAGGACAACTTAGGATTTCCAGTATATGACTGGATGTACTCCATGTGGCATCATTCTCATCCTCCACTCTTAGAAAGACTTAAAGCTCTTGATAAAAGTGACTGAGCATTCCAGTGTGGTGTTGTATTTTGTAAAGAATGAAAGTGTAATCAGATGTAAACGAATGAAAAACATAAGTATAGTATAAACATTGGCCCCTCTTTTATGCATTGTGAGTACTTAAGCTTTGAATGTGTAATCTGACATGAAATTGTATTTTA